CTGAAGCGCGTAACGGTGACTGTATGCTGATTCGAGTGCAGCAGCAATCCTTTGATCAAGTTTTCCGCGAGTGTCGTCCTTAATAATCTCTTTGTGGCACTGAATTAGTAAAAGTCGCACAAGATTGTTCCAGCAAATGCCACAACATCACTATCGTACATATTGCTATTCAAACGATACGGATGATACTCCGCGATTTGAATTTTTCAAGGTGATAACCAACTCGGCTAATCTATATCATGAGTAGATCATTTACAGTCATCGATCACAATCTTGGGATTATTTTCCACGAACAGACGTCGTTAAATGTGCAGTCGGCTTCGCTGGAAGCTTCGTAGAAATCTTCAAAGAAATCATTCCATTGAAGCATTTCACATATGTGTGTTCTGAGACAATCGAGGTGCGATCAGAACCAAAAGAGTGATCATTTGGTCATTTGAAATGATTTGAAACAGACTAAAGATATTGAAAGCAAGACTTTTTTGAGGATGAAGACAACAAGCAAGCGATTGTGAAGTTTTTCGGGTTGATACCGTTGCCGTTGGCACTGATCTCGTTGGTGCTCGCAGTATGCTATGCAATTTGTTTATGTGGTGCAATAAAGGGAAAGCACGGAAATGCCAAGTACGATGCGCTGATACTGAATCGTACAGTGGGCGATATTCTTTGTTGCGTTTCGGCTCTGGTCACCAGTCTCTATGTGATCAACACAATGCATATTAAGTGAGAGTCTCCACTTAACTCACTCTGAGATTTTTCCATAAGACAAAAAAAAATTCGTGCGAATCGGATCTCTTTCAAGAATCCCATTCAGTCAGTTTTCAAGACGATTCTAGCGGAAAATTTTGCAAATTTGTTCAACTGATTCAAATAACTTCTTCGATCACTCATTCACGACAATTTCACAAGAATACGTGAAAATTTAGCAGAAGTGTCACTTCAAATCGGTCAATCTGAAATTCACAACTGACGATGAATCAAATAATGCATCGCCGAAATGAAAATCTTTGAGCTAACGCAAACTGTGTTTGAAAAAAATT